TCAGCCTGTGGCATCAGCAGGAGCTGAGCCAGAGCTCAGCCAGGACCTGCTCCTTGTGAAGCCCTGGCAGTGGGGAGGGCTGTCCTTGTCCGTGGGGCTGCAGTGTGGCTCTGTGCTCCCCATGGCTGGGCAGACAGGGTGAGACCTTCCAGGTGTCCAGTGGCACATCTCTTGGGTGTGCTCACACTTCCTGAACCATTCTGACCTTCGGCAGGGTGCTCAGGGATATTGCCTTTTCCTGGGGGCTCCCTGGCATTCTGGGCAGCTCCTGGGGTTCCTCCAGCTGGCAGGGGCTGGTTCTGAGCGGCCTCTCTCCCTGCAGGCCTACAACATCCACGTGAACGGGGTGCTGCACTGCCGGGTGCGCTACAGCCAGCTCCTGGGCCTGCACGAGCAGGTACGGGGACACCGGGGCAGAGCTCCTGCTCCTCACATTCCAGCGGGTTCTGGGTGCCACTGGGCTCCCACGGGGATCAGGGGTGCTGGAAGCTCTCTGCTCCCCTCGCTAGTCCTGGGGATTGGTGAGGGTGGGGACCAGGGCAGCCGCTGTCCCTCGGGGGGCTCCTGCAGCAGCGCTCTGTTCTTGCCCTAGTTAAGGAAGGAGTATGGCGCCAACGTGGTCCCAGCCTTTCCCCCAAAGAAGATCTTCACGCTCACCCCAGCAGAGGTAGAGCAGCGCCGGGAGCAGCTGGAGAAGTACATGCAGGCTGGTAAGCTGGGCAGGGCACGGCCCATGGCTTCCTCCCTGCCCTGCTCCGTTCCCTGTGGTGCCTCTTGCACCTCCCAGGGCAGCCCTGGCGTTTGATGGCCTCGTCCCCTGGGTGCCAGCTCCTGCCCCTGCCCTGCCCTGGCAGAGTGGGGCTGTGCAGGGGGTCCCAGGCTGGCCCAGCATGCAGTCTGAGGGTGAGCTGAGGGGCTGCACAAGGGCCAGGCAGGGGTGTGTGTCCCTGTCCCTTCCCACGGGATGCCTGACTGCTCGTGCCCCTCCTGCAGTGCGGCAGGACCCGACGCTGGGCGGCAGCGAGACCTTCAACAGCTTCCTGCGCAAGGCCCAGCAGGTGAGGGCACACCTGGGGCGGCTCTGGGGCCCCCAGGCTGTGTGAGGGGCTGGGGTGCCAGTGCTGTTCCTCTCTGCAGGAGACGCAGCAGATCCCCACAGAGGAGGTGGTGCTGGAGGTGTTGCTCTCCAACGGGCAGAAGGTCAAGGTCACCATCCTGACGTCGGACCAGACAGAGGATGTCCTTGAGGTGCCACAGCTCTCCTGCTGGCTGGGACCAGCCCCTCCTGCTGCCTTCTGGGGTTTCCCACTTGTGTGGGGCTCTCTCAGCCTGGTAGCCCCCCCTGCCCTCCCCTCCCATCTGCCCACCCTGCAGCAGGGCTGACCTGGTGGGGCTGAAAGCTGGGAGCTGAAGTGGGTGTGCTGCAGGGTGTGTCTGGGTCCAGACTGGTGTTTGGGGTCGCTGTTTCCTGGTTGCAAGGAGCCCAGGCCTGGCCACAGGGCAGCAGAGGTGCTGCCTTCCTGCTGTTGGGAGAATGCACATGGGCTGGGTCTTGCCACCATGTTGGGACTATATTGGGACTATGCTGCTCTTCCTCCCAGGCTGTGGCCTCCAAGCTGGATCTGCCAGATGACCTGGTTGGCTACTTCAGCCTTTTCCTAGTGAGAGAGACCAAGGATGGAGCTTTCTCCTGTGAGTAGAGCCCACTGTGGTGGGACATGTGCTGTGCCCCTGCCTGGAGTGAGGGCTGTGTGCTTGGGCCCTGCCCTGGCTGGGGGCACAGCTGTTCTCCTGGGGGCACCCTGGTGTTGGGGGCCATGGGGCTCCTGCTACCCAGAGGTGCTGCTGAGCCCTTGTTTCCCTGCAGTTGTGAGGAAGCTGCAGGAGTTTGAGCTGCCCTACGTGTCAGTGACCAGCCTGCACAACCCTGAGTTCCAGATCATCCTGCGCAAGAGGTGAGCAGGGCAGCATTGGGGTGGTGCCCAGGGCTCCCTGCTCTACAGAGGGACCCTCCCCTCCTGCCATTGCTGCCCAGGGCTCCTGGATCCACACAGGGACCCTGCCCTCCTGCCATTGCTGCCCAGTGCTCCTGGATCCACACAGGGACCCTCCCCTCCTGCCATTGCTGCCCACTGATGCTTTGGCCCCCAGGAACGCACCTGAGCATCCCTGACTGTGACACTGGAGCAGGGGTTGCCCTGCTGTGCTCAGCTCATTCCTGCCTTCCCATGGCAGCCGGTTTAGACGGGGAGCAGGGCACAGTGACTGATGGTTAGGGGGGAGCTGGCCAGACCGCAGGAGGGTGATTTTCTCCTCACTGCTGTCAGGAAGTGGAGAGCAGGCTAACCCCTGTGGTTCCCTTCCAGCTACTGGGACTCGGCCTATGACGATGATGTGATGGAGCACCGTGTGGGGTTGAACTTGCTGTATGCACAGGTGAGGGTTGGTGTGGCACAGCCAGGTGAGGACAGACACTGTGCAGGGGCTCGGGGGGCTCCGGTCCCAGGTGCTCATCAACCTCTGCTGCCTGCAGACGGTGTCAGACATTGAACACGGATGGATCCTTGTCAACAAGGAACAGCACCGGCAGCTGAAGTCCCTGCAAGAAAAGGTCTCCAAGAAGGAGGTAGGACAGGGAACAGTGCCACAGCTGGGGCAGTTCTGGCTCTGCACCAGCCCTTCTCCATGTGTGGTACCGGGTGGTGTCCTGTTCCTGGCCCGGGCGGGCGGCAGTGCTGAGCACCCCTGGCCCTGCCTGCAGTTCATCCGCCTGGCGCAGACCCTCAAGTACTACGGCTATCTCAAGTTCGACCCCTGTGTCACTGATTTCCCTGAGAAGGGCTGCCACGTCGTCGTCAGCGCCGGCAACAACGAGCTCAACTTCCAGGTGCGGCTGCCCAACGAGCAGATCAAGGAGGGCAGCTTCAAGGTCACTCGCATGCGGTGCTGGCGGGTCACGTCCTCGGTGAGTGACGCCGGGAGAGCAGGGAGGGGGCTGGGGGGGCACCTCTTCCTAGGAAAGGTGCTGGCTCTGATGCCAGCTTCTGGCCCAGTAGGCCTGGAGAGGGTCTGAGTCATGCTTTGGGGCTGAGGGGATCATTGGAGGGGACCTGACAGTGGCAGAGGACTGGTGGGCACTGGGCAGGTGTGCTTGGCTTGGTGCTGCCCTCGAGCTGCACTGGTGTCTGGGGAGCTGCTCCTTCCCCTCTGGAGGCTCCCAGCCTTGCTGTGTGTCCTTGCAGGTGCCCATGAACAATGGCCCTTCGGGGAGCAGCCCAGGGAAGTCCGAGGTGAAGCTGGAGCTGGCTTTTGAGTACCTGATGAGCAAGGACCGGCTGCAGTGGGTCACCATCACCAGCCCACAGGTGGAGCTGCCTGCATGGCGGGCTGGGGGTGGCTGTGAGGGGAAGGGCTGAGCCCTGCATAGGGTGTGGGAAGGCTGTGGGGTGCATAGAGCCCTGTGACACTTCTCCCTTGCAGGCCATCATGCTGAGCATCTGCTTGCAGTCCATGGTGGATGAGCTGATGGTGAAAAAATCTGGAGGCAGCATCCGCAAGGTGAGGGTTGGGGCTGGATGATGGCTCTGGAGTGGGATCCCAGCCTGGCCCTGTGACTTCCTAGGGCCTGGACTGGGTCCTGAGTGCTCCCCTCAGGATGGGGCCAGCATCCCAGGGCTGGTTATAAGCCCAGGGCTGACACGGGGCCCCTGTGGCTGAGCTGAGCTGCTCCTGCAGATGTTCCGACGGCGGGTGAATGGGGCCCTGCGGCGCTCGGACAGCCAGCAAGCTGTGAAGTCACCCCCGCTGCTGGTGAGTGGGACCCTGCGGCCCTGGGCAGGGGACACGTGCAGGCACAGGGTCTGATGTGTTGTGAACCAGAACTCACTGCATCCAGAAGAGGCACTGCCCTGTGGCAGGGCTGGGGCAAGCCCAGAGGACAGCAGGGCTGTGGTGCCCTGCTTCCAGAGCCCTGGGAAGGGAAAGAGGTCCTGGACCAACTCAGTGAGCCAGACTCCCTGGGGATGGAGGGGGGCAGGTGGAAGGAGGGGTGGGCGTTGTGTCCCATGACCCTGTGCTGCCCAACTGTGCTGTCCTCACAGGACTCACCTGATGCCTCCTGGGAGCCCATGGCCAAACTCTCGGTGAGTTGTGTGCGGGTGCACCAGAGACCTCAGGCTAAGCGGGCAGGGGAGCTAGGGCTGTCCTCATTACCATCTCTCTTCTCCACAGAGCAAGCTCACTTCAGTCAGCCTGCGTGGGATCAGCCACTCCAGCTCTGCAAACGACGTGGGCGCTAACGACTTCCACGGCAATTACGCCTTTGAGGGCATTGGCGATGAGGATCTGTAGTGCCCCCTTCCCAGGACAGCCCCGGCCTGAGCGAGGGCCTTGCTGAGGAATGTACGACCTGCAGCCAGGTTGCAATCAACGTGCCTCTCACCTGCTACATCCACCTTTCCCTGCTCCCCGGGGCTGGGAGCTCACCCCCAGCCCGCCACTGCCTTCGGGGTGGGGGCAGCTGAACTCCTCCCGCTGCTGGCTCCAGCTGGGAGAGGGCTCGTTTGACCTGAACAGTTGGCCCGGGCAGAGCCCTGGAGCTGCAGTGCAGGGCCTGGCCCGGCCTGGGGGCAGAGCTGCTCCTGTCCCAGCTGGGAAGGCCTGGCCCAGCCTGGGGGCAGAGCCAGGCAGGCTCCATAATGCCAAATTAGCATTTAGGTTTGTGCTCCGAGACAGAGTGCAGTAAGCTGTCTCGGGGGCTCCGCGCAGAGTCCCCTCTAACCCGCTCATAGACGCCAGCATAATCTAGGCTTGTAACCACGTATCTCCTGCTGCTCAGCCCGACAGAGCATTAATGGACAGTAACTGATGTTTACACACTGCAACAATGATTAAAACGGATTCTGATTGGTACCAGGCTGTCTGTTGGGGGGTGGCTGCTGTCCCTCCCCTCTCTGTGCCAGCCCCGTGCTGTCCTCTGTAGCAGAACAAGGCCCCCAGGGTGAAGAGCAGATAACAAAACTGACTGTTTAATGCTTTTATACACAATATAAATTACACCGACCAGCACGGCGACAGCCATGGAACCAGTCCTGTTCCCCCCTCCCCCCTTTTCCCCAAACCCCGGCAGAGGAAGGCTCCGGCAGGCAGAAACAGGCAGCTGGGGTGGCTGGGGATGTGGCTGTGCTGCCACACGGGCAGGGGTCAGAGCCGCTGGTCGTCACTTCACCCTGCCCAGGCAGGACAGGGCTGCCAGGGCCCCAGTGTGCCTCTGGGCCTGGTGCAAGGCAGCCCTGAGCCCCCGTGGAGGTGCCCGCCTGTCCTCCCTCCCCCAGGGAGGGCAGGCACCCCAGGCCCCCTGCCGGGCTAAGTGCTGTCTCAGGGCAGGGCCGTGCCCACGGCTGGGGGCGCCAGGAGGGCTTTGGCATTGCGTGGGTTCACCCAGCTCTCGGCCGTGTGGCCGTGGATCTTCTGGTGGCGCTTGTAGTTGTCCCAGTGCCCAGTGGTGTAGGAGCAGTCCCGGCACTGGAAGGGCTTCTCGCCCGTGTGCCGCAGCATGTGCCGCTTCAGGTTCATGCTCTGGTTGCAGCTGTAGCTGCAGAGGCTGCACTGGAAGGGCTTGTCGCCTGAGTGGATGCGCCCGTGACGCTTGAGGTTGGCCAGGTTGCCGCAGGCGTAGTCGCAGAGCTGGCACTTGTAGGGCTTCTCGCCCGTGTGCACGCGCTGGTGCCGCTTCAGGTTGTCCAGGTGGGCGGAGGCGTAGGGGCAGAGCGGGCAGGCGAAGGGCTTCTCCCCGCTGTGCGTCTTCATGTGCCGCGCCAGGTGGTTGGGGTAGTGGGTGACGAAGGGGCAGAGGCTGCAGGCAAAGCCCTTGTCCCCGGTGCCCTTGCGGGGGCTGGCACCCGGCTCGGTGCCCAGCACCGCCAGGCTGCAGCGCCCGCACACCTGCTCGGCCAGGCCCTCGTCCTGAGCGAAGCCGTCGTCCAGCACCAGCCCGCACATGCGGCACGTGAAGGGGAAGAGCAGCTCGGGCAGCGCGGCCGCCTCCTCGCCCCGCAGCCGGGCACAGCCGGGCAGGAAGGGGCCGCTGCCGCTGCCCACGTGCAGGCTCAGCTCTGGCAGCAGGGGCTCTGCGGGACAAAGAGACGGGGCTGTGAGCTGGGTGGCACAGTGCCAGTGAGGACTGGCTCTGTGACGAGCCCCAGTGCCAGCGAGGACTGGCTCTGTGACAAGCCCCAAGTGCCACTAAGGACTGGCTCTGTGACAAGCCCCAGTGCCAGTGAGGACTGGCTCTGTGATGAGCCCCAGTGCCAGCAAGGACTGGCTCTGTGACAAGCCCCAGTGCCAGCGAGGACTGGCTCTGTGAGGAGCTCCAGTGCCACTGAAGACTGGCTCTGTGACAAGCCCCAGTGCCAGTGAGGACTGGCTCTATGATGAGGCCCAGTGCCAGCAAGGACTGGCTCAGTGACAAGCCCCAGTGCCAGCGAGGACTGGCTCTATGATGAGCCCCAGTGCCCTGGTGAGCCTGGCAGTAGCTGACTTCAGGTCAGTGGCAGGATCCGTGCCCTGTGCCAGCCCCAAAGCCCCCATGGTAGCTCTCCCCACGTCCCCACAGCCTCCCACCTTTACCTGGGTCCTTGTCCCGCCGGTGTGGCCCCTCGCCCTCAGGCAGGCGGTGGCTGAGCATGTGCCGCTTCAGGTTGCGGCTCTGGTTGCAGCGGTAGTCGCAGGCGGCACACTGGAAGGGCTTGTCCTGGCTGTGGACGCGCTCGTGGCGTTTGAGGTTGCCCAGGCTGCTGCAGGCGAAGCTGCAGCCCGTGCAGCGGTACGGCTTCTCCCCAGTGTGCGTGCGCAGGTGCCGCGTCAGGTTCACCAGCTGGGCAGAGGCGTAGGCACACTGCGGGCAGGCGAAAGGCTTCTCCCCGTTGTGTGTCTTCATGTGGCGCTTGAGGTGGCTGGAGTAGTGGGAGGCGAAGGGGCAGAGCTGGCAGGAGTAGACGATGCGCTGGCTGCGGCCGCCCTCGGCGCCGGCGCACTGCAGGCAGCTCTGGCCCAGGCTGGCAGCCAGCTGCAGCCCGCACTGGCGGCAGGGCAGCGCGGCGGGGCCTGGCTCGCCCCCCTCCTCGGGGTCGCTCTCCACGCTCAGCTGCTGGTACCCGGAGGAGCAGTCGTCGTCGCTCAGGGCGTACGCTGGGATAGCGATCTTCCCCACCAGTGTGTCTGCTGAGAACACCGCGGGGATGGGGCGGTGTCAGCCCGGCTGGCCTGGGCACTGCCCCTCTGCCTGCACCCCGTCCCACCCTGGGGCACCCAGGAGGAGCTCACCACACTGTGCGCTGCACTGAAGAGCCCCACAGCCACAGCCTGTCCCAACGCCCTGCTGAGGGCCTGTTCTGAGTGTCTCAGGAAACCCTGACACTTCTCATGGCTGGCCAGGACCCCGGCACCAGGAAGGGTGGGAGGATGGGTGGATCCATCACCCACTGGCACTGCTGGGCCTGGGGGGTAGAGGGTGGTGGGCACAGCCCGGCCCAGGCTGGAGAAAGGGGTGCCCATAAAGCTGCTCTGTGCCCCTCTCACTGTGGCACTGGCCCAGCCCTGGGGGTTGCAGCTGGTCACACTCGCATGGCTGGCACCAGGGAGCTCCAACACCAGCCCCTTCCATCCTGCAGGAAACATTCCCCTGCCCCCACAGAGCCCTGTCCGGTGGCAGCAGGGGGAAGGCTGTGCCAGGCTCTCAAATGGAACTTCCCAGCTGGGCACAGACTCATCCTTCTGCAGCCCCTGTGCTCCACAAGCGCCCCCAGGCTCAGGGCTGGAGGGGCAGCTCAGCAGGACCAGCTGAGAGCCGTGCTCTGCTGGCACCGTTCTGTGCCTGCCCTGCACCCCTGGGCCCTGTCAGGCTCAGCAGCTGCCCACTGTCCTGGGACCACCCTGGACTGTGCCCCTGCTGCTGCCACCCTGGCTGTGTCCAGCTGATGAGGCTGACCTAAGCTGTGGGATGGGGCAGCCCCTCCAGCCTCCCAAGCCCTTCTACAAGCACTGCTGGAAACACAGACACCAGAAAAGGGCATCCTGCCAAGGCCTGGCTCTTACGGGGGAACTCCTGACCCTGCCCCAAGCCCTCTGCCAAGGGACCCCTTTCTCCTCAGCTCAGCCCCAGCCACACCAAGGGACCCACCTGTGCCCTCGGGCCAGTCCCACGCTGACGGAACCCCTGTCCCCTCAGGCCAGCAGTGCCACAGCATCCCCAGAGCACTGTCCCCTAAAGGGCCGTGTCTGTGCCCACATGGCACAGCTTGTCTGTCCTGCCTGGGTCAGTGGGCTGAGCTAGTCCTGCTCCCGGGCTGGGGCTGAATGGGAGGACAGGTATTCCTGGTGGAATTTGGGAAGGACAGGAATTCCTGGTGGAATTTGGGAAGGACAGGTGTTCCTGGTGGAATTTGTCCCCAGACCCCCGGCAGGCTCCCAGGGCTGCCAAGGAGCCGTTCCAGGGCAGGGAAGCAGAGCCCTGGGAGCAGCCCCATCCCTCAGTGCTAGAGCAGGACACGGCACAGTCCGGCAGCCGCCGAGCACACGGAGCAGGGCACAGCCCCGGGGGACAGCGGGGGGACGGGCACGGGGCCGGACAGTCCGTGCCCTCCTCTCTCGCCGTTCCGTTCCCGCGTTGCTCGGTGCCCGGGGCGGGGAGCGCCTCCCGCCAGTCCCGCGAGCAGGTCCCTGGAGCTGAGCAGTGCTCGCTCCTCCGGTTGCCTCGGCCGGGGCTGACCAGGCTCGGGAGCCGCGGCGGGACAGGCGCTGCCCGTGGCACCGAGCCGGGCCGCCGGGGCTGAGCGCGCTCCGTTCGGCCCGCAGCGCCGAGGGGAGCGGTGGAACGGGACCCCGGGGCTGAGCGCTGCGCTGGCTCTGGGATGAGCCCGGCCGCGGGGCGCGGACCCGAACCCACCGCGGGGACGCGTCGTGCCCGGGCCCCTGGCGGGAAGGAGCGTTCGGGGATCGGTGCCGGGGGTCAATGCCGGGCGGGCGGAACCCACCCCAGGGCCCCGTCGGGGGCCGGGCCTCCCCCGCGAGAGGAAGCTCCGCCGGCGCCCGCGCCGGGCGGGCCCGTGGCAGGGCGGGCCCGGCCGGATGCGCCGAGCGCGGGCCCGGTACGGCCCGGCTGGGCCGCGTCGCCGCCGGCGGGGCTGCCGGAGAGGGGCGGCGTCCCCGCGGGGGCCGCACGCACCTGGCGGTCCCTTCTCGGAGGCCGGGCCACGGCCCAGCAGCAGGTCCCCGGGCAGCACCACCGCCGCTCTTGCCGTCTCCTCGGTGCCATCCTCGGCGTCCGCTGCAGCGCTCCGAGCGCCGCGGGTCCCCGCCGGGCCGCCGCCGCCGCCCCCCGGGCCCGCCGCGCACTCACCCTTCACCGGCTGCGGGTGGCTCTGCTTCCGCCGGGGCATCGTGGCGGGCCCCGGCGCCGGCCCGGCCCCGCCGCCCGCCCGCCCGCGGCCCGCCAGCCGCCCCCGCCAGCCCGGGGCGGCCGCCGCCGCCCCGCCTCGACCGGACACTTCCGCTTCCGCTTCCCCCGGGCGCGCGGGGGCAGGGCCGGAAGCGCCCGCGCGACCCGGAAGCGGAGCGGGCGCGTGCGCAGAGGCGGTGCCGCCCCCGGCCCCGCCCGCCCCGCGGCTGCGGCATGAGGGGAGCGGGCCCGGGCCCGGCGGGGGCGAGCGGCTGGGACGGGACCGAATACGGCACACGGCACAGGCGGGCAGCGCTCGGGGCTCGGGCGGGACAGCAGCGGCTCCGCCCCTTCCGGCCGGCGGGAGGCGGTGGCAGCGGCGGGACCGGGACCGGGGCCGGGGTCGTTGCCGCTGCCGGTCTCTGCGCCCCTTCAGAGGCGGCTACGGCTTTTCCCCCGGTGCCCTCCGGGTCTGGCCCCGCCGAGCAGCGGCGCGGAGGGCAGCCCCGGTGAGTCCTCACCGGTGTCCCCGCGCGGTCACACCGGGGACACCCGGGGCTTGGCGTCTCGCCCGCTGGGCCCGAGCGCCGCTGGCCGGCCGGTGCCGCCGTGCTCTGGCCGGTCCCGAAGGAGGCCGGTGCAGCCCAGCCGTGTCCCCGGGCTGTGCCATCCCCACCCGCGCCACTCGCGGGGCTCTCCCGGTGGCTCCGCTCCGCCTCCGGGCTGCGTGAGCCGCACTCGGCCCTTCACGGATCGCCGCTGTCCCTTCGCAGGTCCCACGGGCGCTGCGGGTGCCGGGCTGGGCCGTCCCGGGAAGCCGTGGCCGTGCCGTGCTGCCAGCGATGATTCCCCGCTGACAGGTACAGCCCTGGCCGTCTGTCGCTCCCCGGTCACCGCGGAGATCCCGCCGCTGCCCGGCTGCCCCTGGCCTCTCCCCGGGAAGCGCCGCCGTGTCCCCTGTGGGGATGCAGAGCCCCCCGGTGCCCGGCCCAGCAGAGCAGGTGTGCTGGGGCTCCTCAGCCTCACCCGAGTGTCGCTGGTTCTGGCCCTGGCACGGGAGTGCTCCGTGGGCTGTGGCAGCGCTGCTGCGGTGGGGAGGGCAGGGGCAGCTTTGGGGTGGACAGAGGGAAGGACCACGGGCAGGGAGTGTGCTGTGAGCTCTAAGCGAGGGAAATGGACACATTTACCCCACTGCAGCAATTGCCTGGCTCCTGGTCACTGAATGAACTGGGTCCCTCGGCTAGCGAACTGCAGTGAAAGGTGCTTTAGCCATGTGTCACCCTGCCCTGTGGCTGGGCTGGCTGTCTCGGCGTTGCCACTCTCTTCCCCACGCTGGGGATTTGGGAGCTCCGTGGTTCCTGGACCCATCATGCAGAGCTGAAGGAGGCAGGATGGTCCTGCACTGAGGGGCAGAACAGGCTCGGGGGCTGTTCCAGGCACAGGCTGGCTCTCAGTTCCTCTCTCTCTGTTCCTCTGCAGGCTGAGCGGCACCGACTGCGCCTGGGGATGGCTCCGCTGCCGCCCGTGGTGAGGCCCGGGTAGGAGCCGGGCCATGGGGGCTGCAGCCGGGCCAGCTCCTCCCCGCTGCCCTCCGTAGCTCACGGCAGCCCTGGCCACCCCGGCGGGCCGCCATGGAGCAGCCCACGCGTGTGCCCGGGCCCCGCCGCCTCCTGGGCTGCTTCAGGAGGAAGCCACAGCCCGTCGGGGGGGAGACACCGCCAGAACCGGAGCCGCCGGAGCCCGAGGAGCCCCGGGTGGTGCTGGCCCTGGGCGAGGGCCGGGCGCTGGAGGAGTGTCCCCTGTGCCTGCTGCCGCAGCCCCCCGAGGCGTTCCCCAGGCTGGGCTGCTGCTCGCACCGCTCCTGCCGGGGCTGCCTGCAGCAGTACCTGCGCCTGGCCGTCACCGAGAGCCGCGTGCCCGTGGCCTGCCCGCACTGCCCCGCCGCCATCCAGCCCCACGACGTGCACCGGCTCCTCCCCGAGCCCGCCCTCCGCGACAAGTACGAGGAGTTCCTGCTGCGGCGGCTGCTGGTGGCGGATCCCGGAACCCGCTGGTGCCCTGCCCCTGACTGCAGGTACCGCAGCACGGGCGGGAATGCGGGGTGGGCCCCCTCCCGGGCCCCCTCCTGCGGCAGCAGGCCCTGCCCGTGTCCTGTGAACCCTTCCCAGGCTGGGCTCCCATCCCTTTGTCCTGTCTTGGGCCGGCTGTGCCCGGGAAGTGTCCAGTCCTGGTCTGGCTGCAGAGCCTGTGCAGCTCTGTCTGCCAGGGCCGGTGCCCTTGGCTGTGCCAGGTACTCTGTGAGCCCCAGGGCTGGGGCTGCTGGACGCGGTGGGAGCACAGCTGAGGGTGGGTCCCAGCTCTCCTGAGCCAGGGCTTGGCTCAGCTCAGTGCAGGACCAGGGCTGGCACGGCCCAGCCTGGCTGTGTGGGAAGGGGTGCCCTGCTCTCCCCCAGCCCCAGCTGGTGCCTGCTGTGCCCCAGCCCCTGCTGCCTTCTCCCCGCAGCTACGCTGTCCTCGCCCATGGCTGTGCCGAGTGTCCCCGCCTCACCTGCGGCCGTGAGGGCTGTGGCACTGAGTTCTGCTACCACTGCCGGCAGCCCTGGCACCCCGAGGGCCCCTGTGCTCCACCGACCCCCAGCCTGGCCACGCCCTCAGCACAGCCCGAGGAGCCGGCCCACGGTGAGGCCACCCTGGACAGGGTGGGAGCAGCAGGGCTGGGGTTTGGCACAGCCCTGTGCCCCTGTGCCTCTGTGCCTCCTGCCTGGGGGGCTGCTGCAGCCAGGTTCCAGCCACAGTTCCCTCTGCTGCATCTCACAGCTCTGGTGTAGAGGGACCTTGGCTCCCCCCATGATTTCTGTGAGATGGGGAAGGCTGGGATGGATGCACACTGGGACAGGGACAGGCTGGGATGGATGCACACTGGGACAGGGACAGGCTGGGATGGATGCACGCTGGGACAGGGACAGACCTGGGATGGATGCACACTGTTCTGTCCTGCTCCCCCATCCCATCTTGTCTCCCCCCAGCTGAGGCCGAGGACATCAAGGTCTGCCCTCGCTGCAGCGCCTTCATCATGAAGATCAACGATGGCAGCTGCAACCGCATGAACTGCACGGTCTGTGGCTGCCTCTTCTGCTGGCTCTGCCTGCAAGAGATCTCTGACGTGCACTTTCTGAGGTCAGTGCAGGGCCTTGGGGGCTGGGGGCTCTTACAGGAGCTGGGGGTCTGTGGGGCTGCCCTGGGCTGAGGCTGGCAGCTCTGACAGGAGCTGGGGGGTCTGTGGGACTGCACTGGCCGAGGTTGGGAGCCCTGACAGGATGGGGAGCTGGGATGGGGGCAGCCAGGCCCTGCCCCAAGTTTGGGGTTAGCCAGGGGGAGCAGGGTGCTCTGTGCTGCTGGCTCTGGCAGGGCTGGGGCTGTGGGAGGCAGCTGGAGCTCAGGGTTGGGGAGCCTGGCTGCCGGCTCTCAGGTGGGCTCGTGGATGTCCCTGACATGGGCCCAGGCTGTGCTGGTCTCTGCTGCCACTCGCAGAAGCCGTGGCTCAGCCCCGCTCTGTGCCCACAGCCCCTCTGGCTGCACCTTCTGGGGGAAGAGGCCTTGGTCCCGGACACGGAGGATCCTGTGGCAGCTGGGCATGGTGCTGGGAGCGCCCATGGTCATCTCCCTTGCTGCAGGCATTGCTGTCCCTGTCATCACCATTGGGATCCCCATCTACATGGGTAGGAAGGTACTGGCAGCTGTGGTCCTGCTCCCTGCTGAGCCTGGTAGCCCATGGCTCTTCGCCTGGACAGACCTGCAGTGCTCCCTGCTGCCCTCAGCACATCCCTGTGCCACCCCCTGACCACCCTCAGCACATCCCTGTACCACCCCCTGACCACCCTCAGCACATCCCTGTGCCACCCCTGACAGCCCAGTCCTGCCTTGCCAGGACCTTCTGCTGCCCCCAGCAGCCCCTGCCATTGCAGGTGTGCTCAGCCTGGGGAGTGGGTCAGGGTGGGTGAAAGGAGGAAGGGTTTTAGATGGGCTTTCCAGGAACACCTGTGCTGTGGTGGCAGTGCTGTGGTGGCTGCCTGTCCCTGGGGAGAGGGAGGGGTGTCTGGGTGGCTGTGGCTGGAGCTCTGCCAGGCTGGGAAGGGTCTGAGTCCCTGGGGCTGTGTCTTTGTAGTGCCCTTCACTTTTCTGTCTTGTCCCCGAGGTGCTGGGCCAGAGCCGGCGGAGCAGCCTCTCCGGGTGCCAGCAGTGCCTCTCTGTCACCAGCAGTGTCCTCCTGTCTCTCTTTGTGTCCCCCATCATAACAGCTCTCACTGTGGGTGAGTGCCAAGGGCCCTGCCCACAGTGGGGGTGGCACCGTGGGGGATGTCTGGGGCCAGCAGGGCTGGGCTGGGCTGGGCAGTGACCCTTTGTGTGCCCGCAGGTGTCGGCGTGCCCCTGGTGCTCACCTACGTGTACGGGACCGTGGTGCTGTCGCTGTGCCGGAGCCGCTGGGGCTGCAGGGGCGGCCGCGCGCCCGGCGACCTCGGCGTGGTGGAGCTGGACAACCTGGCCAAGCGTGGGTCCCGCAGAGCTGGCAGGCCTGGCCTGTGCCCTCCTGTGCAGCGGGGCAGTCCGTGGCACGGCGTGCTCTCTCTCTCTCCGCAGTGAACGAGCTGTGGTCGGCGCTGCCCAGCCCCAGAGCAGGCGAGGACGGAGCTCCGGACGCCGCCGCCTCCCTCTCCCTGCCCAGCAGCGGCCGCAGCCCGCGCCCGGCACGGCCACAAGGGGACAGCCAGTCAGCCAGCACGGTGGCCCTCGCTGGCAGCATGCTGAGTGAGGGCCAGGACGCCTCTGACAGGTAGGCAGGGTGCCGAGGGGCTGGGGGCGGCACATCCCTTCAAACAGCGTCCCTGCTGTGCTGGGCAGGGATGGGGCTGTTCCCCTTGGGGCCGCTGCCCTCAGGCCGGTGTCTGTCTGTCTGTCTGTCTGCAGGGAAGGCGTCACCATCGAGGTGGAGGTGTCGGTGGAAGCGGTGCCACGCTCTGCCCGGCAGCAGAGCCTCAGCAGTGCCCTGTCTGGGCAGAGCCTCTCTGGGGACTCCCTGGGAGCCACCAGTGACAGGGGCAGCTCTGTGGGTGTCCCTGTGGAGTGATGGGGGCCTGAGGGGGAGAGTCCTGACCCACACACGGGCCCTGTGCCCTCCTTGGCAGAGCCAGGCCCCCTCTGCCAGCACACCCAGCCCTGGGAGCTGGGTCCTGGGCGGGTGCCAGCTGCACCCAGCACTGCTGCACCCTGCACTAGCCCTGTCCACCCCTTTCCCAGAGGCACCACTAGGAAATAAAGCTGCTCTGCTTTCTTTTCACTAGGAAATAAAGCTGCTCTGTCTCCTGTGGCAAAAGTCCCCTGACAGCACGGCCCCCTGGCAGCCCACTGGTGTGCACGACAGGCGCCACATCTGACCTGGGTGAGGAAGAGGCCACCCAGGTGATGCAGGGGTTATCTGGAGTGGCCTCTGCCCTGCCTGTACCAGCTGATCTGCCCCAAGAGCAGGCTGCAGGGTTAGGGGAGGGCAGCAGCCCCCCAGCTCCCATCTCTGGTGCTGGGCCCCACGGGGATCCATCCTGCAGCAAGGCCAGTGTGGAGGGAGCACCATGGGCTGTAGGGGACCTATTGCCAGATGCGTTTCATAGTCTCAGGCCCTGGGATCCTTGCCACTCTGACTCCACTGCAGCATCGTGGGGAGAAAAAAGCTGCTTCTGAATGTTTTGCTGCTCAGAGGTGGGCAGTCACAGAATGGGTAAAGGATTTGGGTTGGAAGTGAACATAAAGCTCATTGCTGTCCATTGCCATGGGCAGGGACATCTTCCACTAGACCAGGTTGCTCCAGCCTTGTCCAACCTGGCCTTGAACACTTCCAGGGATGGGTCAGCCACAGCTTCCATGGGCAACCTGTGCCAGGGCCTCACTAGGGAAGGATTTCTTCCAAAATTCCATCTAACCCTGCCCTCTGGCAGTGGGAAGCCATTTCCCCTTGCCTGTCCCTCCAGGCCCTTGGCCGAGTCCCTCCGTGTTTCCTGGAGCCCCTTTAGGCACTGTGACTCCAAGGTCTCCCTGGATCCTTCTCCAGACTGAAGCCCCCCAGCTGTCCCAGCCTGTCTCCATAGCAGTGAGGTTTGTGAGTTGGCTCACCTGACAGCTTCCTCCAGCTGCTCTGGGATTCCCACGTGATGAGGCTGTGCCTTTGGCAGTGCCTTGCACTACAGATCTTCCCTTCCCGAAGATGAACTCCACCCTGCTGGTCCTGGGCTGTTGTCTTGGCTTCTGCAGTTCAGGCTGTCCCTCACCAGCCCAGGTGCTGCCTCTCCCTCCAAGCCTCAGCTCCCCACCCTGCCTGGTGGCTCTGCACTGAATTGTCCAGTCCCGACCTGCTCTGGTGTCTGCAGTGTCCAGGCTGGGCCCCTGCAGCCCTGTGTGAGTCTGGTGCTTCAGAGCCTCACACACCCCAGTGCTGCAGCTGGATTTGCTCCTCAGGCTGTTTCCACGTTCCCCTGGAGTGGGGCTGCCTGAGGAGACCTCTCAGGAAGACTTTTTTCCTTTGCAAAAGTGGGTTTGTTCTCAGCACAACTTCCACTTGCTGCCAGCTGGGTTTATCTTGGGGTCACTCTGGGAAGGGACCTCACACTTCCTCCCTGCTATCAACATCCTGGTCAAGGCTACTCCAGATTTTGAATAAACAGAATGGATAGTCATAGGGACAAGCAGCCCCAGAGTATTAGTTATTTCTGCAGTCCCTGGGAGCCTGAGCTGAGGCAGCTTTGCTTGGTGACATTAAAACCAGTTTGCCTCAATTGCCATGTGGTGTCATCCCATTCCTGCTGCATGCCCGTTCCAGGCATCCATCTCCAGAGGGTTTGGTTTTAAACTGTTCCTGGTCATTAAGGTTTGTGATGCAGTCTCCAGTCTCTGTGTAGTCCCCAAAATGGCTCTGATTCGTGGTAACCTCACATTAGTAACCTGTAGACCATTTTCTGTGTGCTCTGTTGATGTTCTGTCATGCTGATTTTTACTCAGAATGCTCTGTGGTGGGTCCTGTGCCACAGCAAAGGCCCTCAGAGCTGCAGCTGCTCAGGGAACAGATGCAGGGGGGCTGTGCCTTCCTGGCAGGCTCAGTGCTGGCAGCTCACCAGGAACAGAGGAGCGCAGGATCCTGGGGCTGTGCAGGGAGGTGGCTCTGGCTGTCACAGGAGCCCAGGATGGTCAGAGAGGGGTGCCTGAGGTCCAGGGGCCCCCCAGCAGCAATGGGTCTGCTGCCCAGAGCTTCTGGCTCCCTGGAATCCTGGGGCAGGGGGGAGAGCTCCAGGCTGCAGGGGAAGGAGGGACTGGGGGAAAGAACAAGTGAGGGAAATGCACATAGAAGAAGCCAGTTGTGTGTGAAAAGAAATAAGGGATCACCACAGAGTGCCCTTCTTTCCCAGTGGGCTCTGTCTGCTACACAGGGAGGGCCCACCTGCATGGCCCACACCCTTCCATCAGTGTTTCACAGTCCACAGCTCGCTCCTGCCGGAGCAGCCACAGGGACTGACCGCCCTTGTCTGAGCTGTGCATCAGGGAGGAGCTGCCTCTCAGCTCCATGGCTGCTATGGGCAGGGGAGCTCAGGGGCAAGCCTGGTGCCCCCGTCCCTTGAGCTGACACAGATTTCTCCAGAGGCTCATGTCCACTCTGTGTGAGACCCCTCAGAAGAGCCATCGTGGGGAAACTGGGAGCCACAGGCCAAAACCCTGCACTGATCCAAGACCACAGGGACAAATGTTCTCCTGCCCACCCACCTCCCCCTCCAGGAAAGAACCAACAACCAAGACCACACCTGTATTTTCTGGTCTTTTAGTTTGAAAAAAGTATTGATTGAAAGTGTACAACTGAACACGGCGTGGCCGCAGCACCACCACCAGATTGTTTCACAAAAAAAACCAGAAAGGGCCTTAAATAATCGGGTGCAGATTAAAAAAACCTCAACAGTGAAAAAGTTCTTCCCTCCAAACAGAAATTCACAGGCACAGAAATGGCAACAACCACATGGAGACAATGGGGGGACATCCTCCTCCTGCTCCTCTCGGCACGGAGCGTGCGGCGCGGCGCTCCCGGGCGCGGCTCATCCCGGCTCCCTCTTTGGAATGGTTACGGATGAACAGTGGACATGCCCTTGCTAACCAGACCCGCCCACCCCCCACCAGGACACGGACAAACAAGGCCTCTGCTAAGGCTAAAAAAAGGACAAGACCTGCAGTCTTGAGTTCAGCATGGGTAAGAAACGAGAGTCTGGTGAGCACAGCCCAGTCCCCAGGTGGGCCCTGCTACTCCAGTTTGGCCTTCTTGGTGCTGTCCCCACCGTTCTCCTCTGCTGGTGCCACTGCCTCCCCCAGTTTCCGCTTCCCACTCTCGGCAGGTGGGTGTGTGTTACGGGGCTTGAAGCTGATAATGATGCAGGTCATGTTATCGCAGCCCGTGCCGTCCCCTGAGGTGTCTGGAGCCAAGCACTGATCCAGCAGCTGGGGAGGGACAGGGCAAGTCAGCACAGAGAACAGACACACGCTGGGACACCACCCTGAGGCACTGGGCCCGCTCCAGCGCCTGACAGTGGTCAGGGGCTGCCAGGCCAGACCTGTGCAGGAGTCAAATGCTGCTCCCACAAGGCAAGGGGCAGAGATGGCCTTGGCAGCCCCAGGTTTGTGAATGTGGGCAGAAACCTCTAGGGCTGCACAGCACCCCTGGGGTCAGACACTGGCTGGAGTGCCCAGGGAACCCATCTGAGGGAGTGGGAGGGCAGAGCCAGGCACAGAGCAGGCATGCAGGAATGCCACGTGTCTGGAGGGACAGCAGAGCTCCCCCTCTTACCTCTTCTACAATGGAGGAGAGTGGCCGCAGGACTCCATTCTCATCCTTCTGGGTGATCTTCGACTGGATGAAATCCACCACTTCCTGGCTGCTCATCACGTTCCTGCAGAGCAGAGAGGTCAGGAAGGCAGGCAAAGGGAGCACACAAGCCACAGTGTCCAACAGGCCTTCCTCAGGCTCAGCTCTGGAGGAAGGCTGGAGCAGTGATGCCCCCAGGCACAACAGCTCCCTCAGCACTCACCAGATTCCATCACAGGCAATGACCATGAAGTCGTGGTCATCGTTTATTGTCAGCACTTTGATGTCAGGCAAGGCAGAGATCATCTGCTCTTCTGGAGGCAGGTTCTTGTTCCGCTTGTAGAAGTGATCCCCTGTGGTGGGGAGGAAGATGTGTGGGCACAGGCAGTGCTGTGCCCGGCCACAGGGCATTCCCAGTGGGATCAGTGGGTGCTCCCCACAACCTGGGATCAGGCTGTGGGCCACGAAGCAGAGGAACCATTGCAGGTTCCAGGTGTAAGCTCTGGCAAGCCCAGGGAAGAGGGGTCTTGGCCAGCTCAGCCTGTCTTTATTCCAAACCAAGTGCCCCTTCTCCACCTCCTGGGGCCAACAGCACACAGCACCTGTCACCTCTGGAGAGGCTGGGGCTGGAAGTGTGTAAGGCCAGGCTGGATGGGGCCTGGAACAACCTGGTCTAATGAAGGTGTTCCTGCCCATGGCTGTGGCTGGAATTGGTTGAGCTTTGAGGTCCCTTTTCCCACCCAAACCATTCCAGGGTTCACTGTATGATTCAAAGTTCCCTTGAGAAAACTGGCCCTCAGCTCTGACTAGCAGCTTATCGGGAATCATCCTATGAAGGGACTTCCAGGGCCACCACAAAATAGCAGGTGGGAATGCCAGCGTCTCCCTAGATAAACAACTTGATATCTTTACACTAAGATAATGATTTTAGTGGTTTGGGTCCTTCTGTACACACTCAAATAAATGGGCTCAAACTGCCATGAAGCCAGGTCCCCAGGAAGCAACACACCAAGATTCCCCAATAACCCAGTAAGCAGGAAAAGTCCTGTTCCAGAGGCAGCAGTCTGGGTTTGGGACAGTTTACATGAGGTGGTTTCTGACAACCCAGCTGCTGGCACAGCAGCCTGGGATGTGTCAGATGCTGCTTTCCACTGGTGTCCAACTGCTTCACGGCTGTTTTCTCCACTTAGACTGAAGTCTCCCATCAAACACTGAAGAGGCTTCACTCATCTCATTACAAATCGCTCCCCAGCCTCAGTGGCTGGCAGTGCTGTCAGTGTGGCTCTCCTGAGGCCAGCCCTGCCACCACCCCTCCCTGCTCACCGATGGCCCTGGAGAGGTTGAGGCCGCCGTTCACCCTCCCGTCCATGGTGACCTTGCCACCAGCATTCTTTATCCTGGCCAGCTCCACCTCGTCCTCTGGCTTGTGGTCGTAGGACATGTCCACGGCCTTGCCACCCTCGGACACGACGCAGCGCGAGTCGCCGGCGTTGGCCACGATCAGCTGCTTGCCCCGGATGAGCGCCACCACGGCCGTGGTCCCGCTGTCTGAGCCAGGCTGCAGGACACAGTTCTGGTGAGATTTCTTTCTCTGTCTCCCTGTCAGGTCACAAAGGACACCAGCACCAGCTGCACAGCCCCAGCAGTGTCCCAGATCCCAGGGTAAGCACACACGGAGCAATGGAGAAGGCCCGAGGGAAGTGGGAAACACCAGGAGTGTGTTCACTGAGGGGCAGGCGTGGGCAACACCTCCACCCCAGTGCCATGCAGCGTGCTGGGTCAGGATTCTGTGGTGTTCCACAGGTCTGGATCCTCTGCTCTAATGTGCTAATTCCAACCCCAGCCCAGCTTGAGCACATCCTCACTTCAGGTCAGGACATTTCCCCAAAGGGAGAAATTGCACCTTGGAAGCCACATCCCCTTTTCCTGGCCCCCTGGGTCCCCGAGTGCACCACCATGGGCTGAAGAGCCACAGCCCTGCCCGGTGAGGAGTCGTGCTGTGCCCTGGAGCAGTGGTGCCAGCAGAGCCATGCTGCTCTTGCCCACGCTCTCCCCCCACAGTGCTTTCCAAGCGCCTCACACCCAGCAACAGGATCAGCCTCTGATCTCAACCTGCCGTCCAGATCCAGGCCCATCCCTCAGCTTCTGCACAGACCCAGGCTGTCAGCAGCTCCCTCAGCCCCAGGAGAGTGCACAGGGTGTTCTGTCCCCACCTGAACAGGAACAACCCCTAGCTGAGTCTCCCAAGAGCCCCTGGCTCCACGCTAAGCTGCAGAACACAGAACCAGGGTGTGCACCTCTTCTTTCCCCTCCATGCCCGGTAACAACATTTCCTCCTCTTCATCCTCATCCTCCTCTGCTTCTTCAGTGTCATCTTCATCATCTTCATTCTCTGCCTCTTCGCTGCTGTAACCGTCCTCATCCTCACTACATTCCTACAAGAAAGGAGAGATACCACAGGAGTCACACAGGACCCTTGGTGCTGTCCCCCCGCTGGTCCCTCCATCCTGGGGACCAATGGTCAGTTCCCCCAGAGGTGTGAGGTGACCTGCCACGTGTCCCCCACACTTGATGGCTACAACCAGAGCAGCTGCTATCACTACAGCAGTGGGTGAAGGGATGGTGCATGCAGCAGGACCAGGGGCTATCAGCTATGGCTGCTGCAGGATGAGGGTGTGTCCTTCGGGGTTAGCTCAAAAATCCCAAACATTCCCATGGGATGGCCTCAAAGGATCAGCCTGAAACACCTGCTCCTAGGAACACACCTAGGATGAGCCAGAGGCTCGTCTCAAGTACCACCATAAGCAATGCATTCTGCCCAGCCAGAAGGCCACTCTGTTCCAGTGCTGTTTCCTACCTCACTGTCTTCCTCCTCTTCCTCAACCTCATCTGACTCATCCTCACTGTCCTCAAAAAATTTGGATTTGGTTGTGCGCTGGGGCTTTCCCGTGGAGGAGCAGGAGGGCCCGGCCTCCCCAGTGGAAGAGGTGACGGCCTCGTCACCTTTGCCTAGTTCAGGCTTCTGCAGAGCAGGGCTGTTGCCTCCAGCGCTGGCTTTGTCTGAGGTGGAGGAAATACCCGTGATTTCTTCGTCTGGCTTCCCGTTCTTCCTCTCCTTGTGGTCGGGAAGCTCCCCTGGGTCAGCCTCTCCATTCATATTTGACTCCCCATCATGCTGCTTGCCTGTCCCCTCCACAGCGCTATCCCCAGCTGCAGCTACAGACTTGGCTTTGAGGTTCTTGGTGCAGTTTTGTCCATAACGTGTGAGAAGCTCCTCGATGGTCATTGTGGCTTCTTCGTGCAGGAGAGCAGCTTCCTCATTATCCACTGCAAATGGAAGAGGGAGAGGACAGGGACAGAGAGGGTGAGAGAACAGGACCCCCAGCACGCTGGGTCCTGCGCTGAGCCACCCCAGCTGAGGCTGCTGCTGGCAGAGCCCCAGCAGCGCTCCCCAGGCTGACTCTGAGCACACAGCCAGGCCCGTGCCCTCCCACAGCTCCAGGTGCCACAGGTGAGCAGGATGGGAACAGTTCTGAGCACAGCACAGCCTCGGAGCCCCAGAGCTGTGCTTCCTGGCCCACTGACAGCACCACAGAGTGTCTACATCAGCCATCATGAGGGCTGGTGGGAGCACAGTGTGCACATCAGGTGTGTGCCCAGGGGGCAGAGCCTCACTTGCCCAAGCACAAGCTCCTTGGGAGCTGCAGGGAAGCAGAGCCACCACTGCCATGTACAGGTTTGGTCATTAATGCTGCAGCTAGGAACAAGAGAACAGCTGAAACACCCCAGGGATCCCCACCAGCTGTCATCTGGACAGATACAACAGGTGAGAGCACAGCTTTGGCCACCCCCAAGTGGGACCAGACAGAAAGTGGGATGACTTTCCCCACTGACCATGGGCCAAACACCACTGCTCCCTACTGACATCCCCTTGCATATCGTTTGCTTTGCTATTTAATCCCAAAAGGAAAACAAATACAGATATCCCAAATGCTCCTGAAAATACAGAAGAAAAAGAAAGAAACCTCACCCACCCACTTCATCCCTGTCAGCTGGAGAAAAAGCAAAACAACAAATTCAGCATTTCCAGATTGTCATATTGTTCCAGGTGACAGGATCACCTTGCATCTGTCACAAGGCTGGAAGGGAAGCCCAGGAAGCACCTCCTGGGCTGGCAGCCACTTGCTGGTGGAACACTTGCTTCTTTGGGGGAAGAAGAACTGCTGAAAAGACCAGGCTCTGCTTCAATCCTATCTGCACTTGGTGGCTGCCACCGGCCGGGGGGAGCTGAGAACTGCACACCATTTCCCTTCCATATCTGAGTCCAGCTCAGAATTCCTGACATACCCTGGAACCCTGCAACCCATGGAGGAAGCTCTATAGGAAATGGGGACAGGCTGTTTTGTTATCCATAGCATTAAGCTTGCAAATGGATAAAGGTTCCCCCCTAGCACCTGCCCAAAGCTATGGACAATGCTAAGGGGCAGGAGCTCAAGTCAGCCAAAATTTAACTGAGAAACTGGGACAGAAAACCTTGTGCCCAAGGACACTTGACCCTGCTGCTCTCCATCCCTGTCCTAGAGCTGCAGCCTTGTCTGTGCACTGGCATCTGACTTACCATCATCTTCATCAGCAACCTTCTCCTTCTCATCTTCATCGTCCTGTGGCCGCCCAGCCATTTGAGAGAGCTCCTTAATCACCTCCTCTGTGGTGAGCTTGGCATCAATGGCCAAGAATGCATCTTCCAGGGCCTGAGTGTGAACAAAGACACGAGTGGGCAGCTGCCCCTTCCCCACAGGATGCCATGCTGTGCAATCCAGTCTCTTGCAGCTTGCAGACTGCAACCAACCACAGCACGGCTGCAGCTGGCAGGGACCCGGGGCTTCTCCTGCTCCAGCAGGGACACCCAGGACTCTGCCCAGATAGGCTCTGGACAGCTCCAAGAATGGAGACTCCATCACCTCCCTAGACAAACACAAGGGCTTTCCTCTGTGTTGGCACTTACTCAGTGTGGGGCAGAGCTGGCTCCTCACCTTTTGCAATTTGCCTTCCTTGTAGGCCTTCTGGTCTTTGATGATCTCAGGGAGGTACTTGGCACAGTACAGGGCAACTTCTTCTCCTGAAAAAGAGCAGAAACTATTTAAGGAGGCTGCTCCTTCCAGACAGAAGCTGCTCTTGAGCAGCTGAATTCCTGAGGTAAATCCTGGGACAGAAGCCAGAGCTGCTCCAGACACAGCAGTGACACAGCAGCTGAGTGTGGGGATCCTGCTGACACCTCCCCAGTGGGATGTGCAGATGGCCCTGGCACACCTCAGAGCTCCAAAACACCAGGTTTGGCCAATGCTGTGACTTCCTGAGAGGGAGCTTAGGCTGACTCTTTAGGTCCAGCCTACCTGGAAATATTTAATTTCAAGTGTCAGTGGAAGCAGAAGGAAAGGGAAGCTTTTGCTCACTGCAGGTTCTCATGGAGCATTACCATTGTGCAGTGAGCACATAAAAAGTGTTCTGTCTCCTGGTGTGTGCTCCAGAGCAAGGGCAAAGAGATCCCAGAGACTGAGATGAACCTCTCAGGGGACAGGGCAGTCACTCGCTATGGGAAAGAGCACAGCAAGATAAACAGCAGCCAGAACACTGTGCTGAGAGCACAGGGGATAACAGTGCTGAGAGGCAGCTCCAGTCAAGCGCTCATCCTAGAGCAGCCAAAAGATTTTGAAAAGCCAGAAACTCCCCAAGCTTGGTAAGTAATGGTGTCAGGTATGGAACAGGGCATGGGGGGCATTTGTTTAGATCCTGAAGGTGCATTTAAGAGAGAAGGAAGAGTAAACATTGAGGGATGATGAATTTCTGTAGTTTATCTTGAACAGGACAAGAAAGAGTAGTGTGAGTTGTAAGAGATCACACTAGTCATTGAAGTTTTTACATGAGAACAATGTAGGACACAGGAATGTGGACGTGGCTCACGCCTCACAAAGAAGAAAAATTAGAGCCAGAAACTGAGAAACAAATGAAATGACTGCACAGAAAGAGGGACAGGAGCAGGGCAAGCTGCAGGCAGGTGGAGGGTCCCACTGCAGGGTCCAGGAACATCCTGAGGCTGTGCTGGACCAGCCATTCCCTGCCACAGGGCACAGAAGTAGCAATGTGGGTGGCAGGGCACAGCAAGGCAGAACCTACCTGCACCTGGGGCTTTCCTGTAGGTACCACCAGAGCCACGTGGGCTCCTCTCCTTTGGGCTACAGGAGGGTTTTTCACAGGATGGACCAGCCACACAACTCCTGATCTTCCTGCTGCACTTCCCTGCCCTTCTCTGAGCCCAGCAGAGACCCTGGGGCAGCTGGGCATCAGGAAGAGCTGTGCAGGCAGGGGCAAAGCTCTGTGAGGGAATGGGGAGCAAGGGAAGTGAGAGGAAAGCAGCAGCCAGGCATCCTTCAGCAAAGGGAACATAGTGGGAAGCAGAGAAGTGGGGAGATTTGGGAGAAAGACAGACAAGGGACTTTTCCAATGCACCTGCAGAGGAGGGATCAAGTGGCCATTGACAGAGAACAGAAACAGCCAAATGGCTGCTGCCACACCGTGCTGCAAAGCATTCCATGGTACAGGGAACAGAGAGACTGGCTCTGACCTGGGGACACTGGAGAGGGCCTAGAGCAACAGGACAAGGGGCAATGGCTCCACACTGACAGAGGGCAGTGCTAGATGGGATATTAGGAAGAAAGTCTCGCCTGTGAGGGTTGTGAGGCCTTGGCCATCCTATGTTTCCTCCAAAAACACCTCTTGGAGGGAGGTGAAAAAAGGTTATCTGTCCCCACGAGATGGAAGCTGAAGGACAGTGATGTCCTCAGTGCAGAGCCCAGGTGCCAGCTGAGGCTCAAGGCCAGTGTTTGAATAAGAGATCTTGAATAACAGATAACAATGATCAAACACCACTAATCACTGTAGAGCCCAGCAAAGAGCAGGAACCAGGCAGCCTCTGACAGGCCCAGCACAGAACAGAGTGTGGTGTGGGTCAGGTGAGGTGACCTTGGGAACACCAAACCAGCACAGTCACCTGCAGCTGCTGACAGACACAAACCCCTCTGGTTCTTGGGAACACCAAACCAGCACAGTCACCTGCAGCTGCTGACAGACACAAACCCCTCTGGTTCTTGGGAACACCAAACCAGCACAGTCACCTGCAGCTGCTGACAGACACAAACCCCTCTGGTTCTTGGGAACACCAGACCAGCACGGTGACCTGCAGCTGCTGACAGACACAAACCCCTCTGGTTCTTGGGAACACCAAACCAGCACAGTCACCTGCAGCTGCTGACAGACACAAACCCCTCTGGTTCTTGGGAACACCAAACCAGCACAGTCACCTGCAGCTGCTGACAGACACAAACCCCTCTGGTTCTTGGGAACACCAAACCAGCACAGTCACCTGCAGCTGCTGACAGACACAAACCCCTCTGGTTCTTGGGAACACCAAACCAGCACGGTGACCTGCAGCTGCTGACAGACACAAACCCCTCTGGTTCTTGGGAACACCAAACCAGCACAGTCACCTGCAGCTGCTGACAGACACAAACCCCTCTGGTTCTTGGGAACACCAAACCAGCACAGTCACCTGCAGCTGCTGACAGACACAAACCCCTCTGGCTTGCTCTGTCCATTGCTGCTCCAACCCTTCCAGCCCCATGGTGGGTGCCAAGAAAGGATTGCTTGGTGGTTCAGCCCCAGGGGGCAACTAAGCACCACCCAGCCACTTGCCCACCTCTCAGGGAACCGGGGAATGGACTGGAAGAATAAAAGCAGGAAGCCCTTGAGTCCAGAGAAGTTTAAAACAACAATAATAATTTTTTTTTTGTAGTGAAAAGGCAGATAACAAAGAGAGAGAAATAAACCTCAAGACAGACAAGTAATGCAAGATACATGTCAGTGAAGACACATTATTAAAATAAAGGCTGAAGCACAGGTAGACAGCAATAGGGCCTGAGCAAACACTCCCTGCCCCCCACTCAAGTGCCCAAATGTCACCCTCCAGAATCTGGGGGCAGGGAGGCCAGAGCACATCAAAAAGGAGATGGGGAAGGCAAAAAACTGGCCCAGCAGCATCTTTCAAACACCGAGAGGCTTGCCCAGAAGGGGGAGACATAAGAGACAAACTGATCAATTAAATGGAAAATGCTAATATGTAAAAAACCTCCCAAACTCACCCTTTTTCAAATAAGACAGTAATAAAAGCTTTTCCCAACCTATCTGGAGCAGGAAGTTTACTGGAGTGTTCCAGGCTGAGAGATGAGCAAGGTATATAAGAGAAGGTAAATTCAGATTCTGTACTGCTGGCTAATAAAGCTTAGCAAGGTTCCCACCCAAAACCCTACCCTTACATAGGAGAGACCTGAGAAATTGCTTCAAACTTAAGAACTAATGCATCAATAAAACCACACAATAGCAGGGGGTGGGCAAAAGCTGTTCTTCTAATTCAGATTCAACCATACCCCTGTCCTTCCTGATATGGCTTGTCCAGGGAGAGCTGTAGAGATTCAATCATAGAAATCTAAAATATGAATTAGAAATTCTTGCCAGTGCTTTGCCATCCCACGTCTATCTCAGATCTTCCCTATTGTATTTAGAACCCCAAACACAATATTTAATGTCCTATACGAACAGGAATGTCATGAATGTCCAAAGCCTCTCTAAAACCCAACACATGGTTAAGGCCTTGGCAGCTGAGAACCCAACACACTGAGCTCAGAGGAGAGCAGATGCTTTGATACTCTTCATTCTTGACCCATTTTTGGGAGATGCTCCTTGTCTTTAGTTTTGCCTGACATACACACACAGAGTTTCTGAGGTGAGTGATCCTTACATCCCATTCACTTGTCATTCCCTGCCTCTCAGCACCAACTCATTATCCCCACGTTCTCAAAGAGACCCTTTGGGATACCAGTGACTGCTCCACAGGGGTCTCTGCACACTCTGAGATGAAGTTCAGGAAAATGTAATTTCAGGACATGGAATACACTCTTCAGAGTGGGATGACCTCTTTGGAAGAGCTGCTTGCTACATCAGCAGCAGTGACAGCCACAAGCTGGACACTGTCACAGAGCCAGGGAACAGGAGCAAACAGGCAGCTCAGTTCTGCACACAGACTTTCAAAGAGCTTTCAGATAAACCATCAAACATTTCCATACTAAGCTGCCACAAGAAAAGCAGGGAGGACAGATAGGAGCAGTTTTCAGAATGGGGGATGGCCACTGGGAGAGCTCCTTGAAAAGCTACGTTGTTCAACATCTACATAAATTAACAGGAAAAAAGGTCAGGAAACCATGACGGATAACTCAGGACTATCAAAATTAAAATAAGTTGCAAGATCTAACAGCAGGATCTTGAGCTCTTACGTTATATTGGCAGAGCAAATTCTGTAATAATATTAGCAATAATATTTAATAGCAATATTCAGTCATACAAGCAGAGAGAAGCTGTGGACTACTCTGGACTGGGGAAAAAAAAAAAAAAGACACAGAGCCCAAAAGTAAAAGTTTTACCAGAGTGATTATTCACTCATTCCTTGTGTCATGGATACTGCAGTGAAATTGTCAGGCAGCAGATTTAACCATATCTTTTTCAAATAATGATTCTAGGCAAAATGCATGGTGTAAACAATCACCAAACATAGAAACCTTCTTAAAATGCAATCAGACAAATTCGTGAAGAGTTAGCTCATCCAGAAGACTCCACCATGTCTCCAGGATGGAATGGCTGCAATCTCCAGTTCACGGAACCCTTACAGGGAATGGATCTGCCTGTTTTGATTTTCACTCTTTCCTTGGGCATCCACTAGAACACACTGTCTAGAGTCAATCTCAGGTGATTTTTCTTACCAGGTTTTCTGTAACTCTCCTGCCCAGCTTATCCACCACAAAAATAGCCATTCTCAGAAGGTATAAAAGATGGAATACAAATCTGATTTCAATTTCAGATCAAACCCTGACCTTCCTCCCAGGACCCCTAAGAGTTCAGAACCTCCGCTGATGGTATCCATGAAAGAAAATGCTTCCATCAAGGAGCAGAATTCCCAACAAGAGATGGATGGCCCAGGGGGTGCCACTGAAGGACAGACAGAGCAGAGTGGTGCAGTTACCTCCGTGTCCATCGTAGACAGAGAACATGGCTGTTTCACTGTCCAGCTCGGGAATGCAGTTGTGGGCATCCTGAAAGAGAGAAGCAAAGGTCTGAAACAACAGGGATTGCATTAGACCCACAGAAAATCATAGCAACACAAATTTGTTTGGGTTGGAAAGGCCCTCTGAGGCCAACCATTGCCCCAGCACTGCCAACCCAAAGGGCTGTCCCACGCCCCCAGAGTGCCACATCCACACTGCTTTTAAACCCCTCTAGGGATGGGGACTCCACCCCTGCCCCGGCCAGCCTGTGCCAGGGCTGGACAAACCTTTCCATGAAGAAATTCCTCACAACAGCCAACCTGAACATGCCCTGGCACAGCTTGAGACTGCTTCCTCTTCTCCTGTCCACGATCCCCAGCTGGCTGCACCCTCCCCTCAAGGAGTCGCAGAGAGTGGGAAAGTGCCCCTGATCCTCCTTTTCTCCAGGCTGAACCTTCCCCAGCTCCCTCAGCCACTCTTGTGCTCCAGACCCTTCCCCAGCTCCATTCCCATCTCTGGGCAAAGCTCAAGGCTCAACAACTCCACAGGCCATGGACAGAGCACAGCCCTTCTCTCCATAAGGGCTCTGTGGAGCAGCCAGCTTTGAGGAAGGCACCCCCGTGATTTTTACAGCCTGAACTCCTTCCCCTATGGGCAGGCAAGCCCACCTTGGCTATTGCAATGCAGAGCCTGGAACAGATGGCCGGGCTGAACCTTTCTCCCAGGCCCTTCCCTGCCCAGCTAACCCCCAGGAATTCCTTCCATCCAGCCCTCCCCACCTGACACATCCCACACTCCTGCGGTCAGGAAGAACATGTATCCTGTAATATATTCAACAATGTGATCTTTTCTGTAGTTCATCACCTTCAATGTGCTACAATTGCCCCAAAACACTGGCCTTACACCAAGACAGCAGTCTCAAACATCTGGATGTGTCCGTGCCGCCAGCAATATTCCAAAATTTACACACACACAGAACTAGATCACAGCCCAGCAACCACCAAGCTCTACTGCTTTTTTAGGTATGACTCCTTGGATAAGGTCTCTTCACTCTCCAGAGTTGCAGTTTTCTGTAAAAAGAGAACTTTGTTCCTTGCTCAGGAAACAGGAACAGTGAGGTTCTGGGTTTATGCAGCACTCTTTGCAATGGAACTGCTGGCACTGGGATGGAGAGAGCTTCTGAACAGGCAAGTGACCATCTGAGCTCAAAACGAGGAATGACCGAACGGCAATGCAGGAAATTTCCCCAAGCCTCACTGGAGAGCGAATGAAAACAGAGATAAACCAAGATGCAGCATTTTAGAGCTCACTTTTCTGAGCATTCACAGAAGCCAGTGAGACAGACACTGAACCCCCAACACAGGAACTGGGATAAGCCCCAGGTGACCAAACAGCAGCATAATTAAAGAGATGCAAATGCTGCTGCAGAGGAAACCCAGCACTGGCACCAAAACCAGACCGTGCTGCCCTTGCTGAGCCCCGCAGGGCCTGTCCTGATCTGTCCCCTCACCGAGCCCTGCCGGGGGGCAGATGGGCAGGGCTGGCAAACGGGGAGGCCTCCGGTCACAGCGCCTTGGGACTGGCCCTGCCCCGCTCCCGGCACTGGGGCTGTGGGCCCTGATCCCGGCTCCGGCACTGGGGCTGCGGGCCCTGATCCCGGCACCAGGCCCTGATCCCAGCTCAGCACCGGGGCTGCGGGCCCTGATCCCGGCACCGGGCCCTGATCCCGGCTCAGCACCGGGGCTGCGGGCCCTGATCCCGGCTCCGGCACCGGGGCTGCGGGCCCTGCCCGGGGGCACAGCCAGGTCCTGGCACTGCCAAGGCCACCAGCAGGGCTCTGAAGCCTCCAGGTGCTGCCAGAGCAGCGCGCAGCCAGCCCTGCCCTCTCACTGTCATCTCGTGTGCTGGAAGAGCTCGCGGAGGTTCCCAAAATCAGCTCCTGCCACCCTGGGATCCCTCACTCTCCCCAGCCACCTGAGTGGTTAATGGAACGCTGGTGAAAAACTGTCTGAAACAAACACACAATTCAGCTGAAATGAGCAAGCAAATTAATAAGTTAACCTGAGCACTCGTTTAACAGTTCTCCGTATTTTGAACCAATCTCTTTCAGTTTTTGCAGCAAGGGCTTTTGCCCTAGGCCTGGGAAAGGAGTGAAGCTGCAAACTGGGGCTGTCTCGCTGGGGGGTACAGGCAAAGCAGGAGCAGAGTTTGGAGAAGCCCCAGCCAAGCACATCCTGTGCCTCCCACTGTATCCCAGGGCACTCCTCTGCGCCATAAAACTGACTTCAGCCCTTTCCTTTGTTGCTCCTAGTATCTAATACCATTTGTCTTTGTATCTTTATCCTTGGGGTCCCTGATCTGCCCCAAACATTTCCTCACTCCCAAAGTAACCTCTCTGGACTAAGCCAGAGTGTTTCTTCTGAGCTGTACACCCACCTCACTTAAAAGGCTCCTAAAACCCAAGTACAAGGTGACAAAAAGCTCCTACACCCAAAACACCTGTGTCTCACCAGGTGCACACTGACTGGCCTCACCAACACACACAGAACTGCAGCAATAAGCATAAACATGTGCTCAGGGCTTTCTCCAAGCCTTGTAGAAGAGCAAAAGTGCAACTGAACAGGAAGAGAATGACAAAACAAAACAAGGTAAGACAGAGAGCAGAACACAGAGTGCTGGAATGCAAGAAAATGGCTCAGCTGTGTATAAAACACCCATTTCTCTCCCAGAAATTCTCATTTCTCTCAGGTTCAGAAGCAATCTGCAGCAGGTTCAACTCCTGCCATCTGCTTCTTTCTTGGGATAACTCAACTAAACCACATCCACACCGATGGCCTCAGAGCTGCCTGTGCCAGCAGGGATGAACCAGAGGTGCTGGGTAGTACAGAACGCACACCTGCAGCTGGGGCCTGGCCCAGCCTCTGCTCAGGTACCAGGGACAGCCCCAGGTGAGCGAAGGCAGAGCCCTGTCCCAGCTGGGGGAGGGCTGAGTGACCCCACCACACCATAAACCAGGGTCCCTCTGCTCTCCCTCATCCCAGCCCGGCCCCCTGAGACACCCCCAGCTCAGTGCAGAGGGGTGCTGGGTCCATCACACACCCCCCAGCTCTGTGCAGAGGGGTGCTGGGTCCCTGAGACACCCCAGCTCTGTGCAGAGGGGTGCTGGGTCCCTGAGACACCCCAGCTCTGTGCAGAGGGGTGCTGGGTCCCTGAGACACCCCCAGCTCTGTGCAGAGGGGTGCTGGGTCCCCCTGACATCCCCAGCTCTGTGCAGAGGGGTGCTGGGTCCCCCTGACACCCCCAGCTCTGTGCAGAGGGGTGCTGGGTCCCTCACATCCCCAGCTCTGTACTGGCCCCTCTCACACCCCCCAGCTCTGTGCCAGAGCTGCTTACACACACATAAATCCCTTGGAGGTGACACTCAGTGCCCCAGCAATGTCCTTGTGCCACTGGCAAGGAGCACTCAGACCCTGCCAGCCAGTTCTACACATGTCCTGTGAGGAGCACAGGCACCACTTCTGCATCTTCTACCCGAGAACCAGAGCCCAGGGCTGCACACACAGAGAGGAGGAAGCACCTCTGGTCACTGATTTGTCACCTGTGTGACCGCTGTTGCACTCCAAGAGGCAGTGAAATGTCTGACAAAATGGGTTATGGATCTAGATCAGCAAAGATTCAATGCCTGACAGCCTGAACAGGAGATCCTCTCCAAACCAGCCACAGGGCTACGAAGCAAACACTGAGAGATGCACCTGGGGTGGCTGCAGGGATTAATCCTTACTGAATTCAGCTGTGAGCTGGCTGCCCCAAAGGGAAAACAAAGCAGCACATTACCGGTACTCACAGAGGGTCTGAGGCTCACAGACCTGCAGGGCCAGCAGCCCCACACTGCCCTCACACCAACCAAGAGTTCTAAGGGCAGTTCCTGCAGCCTCCTACACTGTGGGAATGCAGGGAAACACCTGGAACCTCAGCCAGGTGTGGGTCTGGGGCAGCTCATCTGCCCACAACGAATCCAGCAAAGCCAGGACTGGCAACAGGAGACTGAGAGCAGTCATGAGGATTCTTCCTACAGATTTCCCTATAAAAAAAGAAAAGCAGGGAGGAAGCACAGCAAAGCACCGACACTTCATTTCAGGGGACAAAACCAGGCATTTCCCCTGAGACTCTCCCACTCGCTTTCACTCAAACGCTCCTTCCCTTCATTTTTTACCCCGAATTCCTCATTTCTCGCAGGGATGTACCCCGCCGCACGTGTCCCCCACCACTCGCGGGGACTCTCCAGGCAGGAGCCGGAACACGCGGCTGCCGTGCGGGATACGGGAAGGGCTGGGGCGGCACCGGGAGCGGCAAAGTGTCCCCGCCGGCCTCGTGAGGGAGGGACGAGGTGACCAAGAGCCGCGGACTCGGCGCCGCTCGGGGCAGGAGCCCGAGGAGCGCCGGGCGCGGACGCCGCCGCCCCGCCAGCCTCACCCCCTCACCTCCATGGAGACGCGCCATCCCTGCATGGCGCTGAACCCGAAGTGCAGCGGGCGCGGCCCGAGCCCGGCGCCGTCCCCGGAGCTCTTCACCGTGTTGGGCTGCGACAAGTAGGCGCCCATTGCGGCCGCGGCGGCCTCGGTCGGCGGCGACCGGACCGGACCGGGGGCGCGGGCAGACTGCGGAGGCGGCGGGACCTCGCACCGGCGGGCGGCGACCGGAAGTCGCGCGGCCGGAAGCTCGGCGGCCGGAAGCGCCGACCATAGAGGCGCGGCTAGAGCGGCACCGCGGCCCGCTCCGCCCCGGGACTACCTACACGGCCCGCAGGCGGCTTCGACCTGCCCTGAGACTCCTCCGGGGGAACAGCGCACTTGGGACCGGCGATGCCGCCGCCAGCCGGTGCCGCGGGCGGTCACTCACACAGATAAAACCGCGCAGGCTCACAACTAGTAGAATTATTGCTCAGCCCCTCTGTATGAGGGGCCTTTGCGCACACAGCGCCTTATATAGGCTGAGTCACGCCCACCAACCAATCAGCGACCCCGAGGGCCCCCTCTCGCTATCTCATTGGCTGTTTCACGGGGCTGCCCCGCCCTATTCACGATCTTTCACGGCCCTTCGCGCAGGGCGCCCCCTGTCGTGACGCACCGCGGGGCCCCGCCCGCCGGCCATTGGCGGGTGCTGACGCGCGGCTCGCGGCGCTGATTGGCTGTGGCAGAGGCCCCACCCCGCTCGGCGTTACGCAGCGCGGCGGTTGCGGCGGGGCCGTGCTCGGGACCGGGAGGTGCTGCGGGCCCGGTAAGTGCGGGGGGGGCTCCCACCCCTCGCTCCCCGCCTCGCCCCGGGACCGGCCGGGTCGGGCCCCGGCTGGCAGGCCCGGGGCGCGGTCCCGGCTGGCAGGCCCGGCGGGCGCGGTCCCGGCTGGCAGGCCCGGCGGGCGCGGCCCCGGCTGACAGGCCCGGCGGGCGCGGCCCGGTCCGGCCCAGTGGGCCCGGCCCGGCCTGCCGCCTCACGGAGCGCCCCTCTCCCTCAGGGTGTGCGACCGCAGCATGTCGGAGGGTGAGTCCAAGCAGGTGCCCAGCAGCGGCTCCGACCCCAAGCCGGAGCCCGCCTCGTCTGGCCCGGGGATGACCTCGGTGTCTGCGCCGGTGACTTCCGCGGCGCCCCCAGAGGAGGAGGAGGAGGAGAGCGAGGACGAGTCCGAGATCCTGGAGGAGTCGCCGTGTGGCCGCTGGCAGAAGCGGCGCGAGGAGGTCAGTGCCGGGAGCCGGTTCCCAGAGCGGGGCTGGGGGGGAGCCCGGGCGGGGCCCGGCGGGCGCCCGTCCCGCCTCCCCCCGCCTTCCCCCCCAATCCCCGGGCCTCTGCCACCTGTTCCCGGGACAGCCCGGCCCCGCAGGGGGGCCCGCCGCGCTCCCGGGAGGCGGGGAGATGCGTGGCCCATCTTCTGCCTCCCGCTGCCGTTCTCGGCCCGGAGCGTGCGGGCTGGAGCGCGGCCAGGGATGTGTGCCCTGCCGCAGGCCGCTGTCACGGCCAGCTGCTGCTGCGGAGCGGGGAGTGGCTCTCCCGGTGAAAGATTCACAGATCTTTCTCTCTGGGAGCGGTGAGGAGCAGTGACTGGACAGCTCTGGGTGTTCTCTAGGGAGTGGGTGTACCTGCTGCCGAGGTGGCCAGGTACTCGAGCCGGTTCCCCGGGCTCCTCAGCTTTGAAAGCTCGCTCTGCTTTGTGGTCTGCAGCCAGGATGCAGCACAGTGAGCTCACACAGCCTCGTTCCTCGGCCTGTGCTGCCCTGCCCGCCCTCAGTGCGTGTGCTGTGCATGCTGTGTCAGGGCACGAGGAGATTAGATCGTGGTGTTTGGGACCTCTCCTTTTTTCTGCTCGTTGCTGGGCTCTGTTTTTCTTCTGGGGGCTGTCTGCACGAACTGGTTTCTGCTCTGTGCTGGCACGGTGCCTCTCCCCTGGCTGGGCAGGCTGTGCAGCCCTGGCAGGTGCTGACAGCCGCACAACGTGCTGCGGCACAAGTGCTGATGGGGCTTTTCTCAGCCAGCTCGGGCTGAGCACAGGGGTTTGTCTGCTTTGTCCACCGCTGCGAAAAGGGCAGTGCAAACCCTGGGGGTGGTGAGAGAGTCGTTTGTTCTGATGTAAATTTGGAGGTCAGAGTAAGGTCAGGGATTCCCTGCAGTTCTTCACCTTTGCTTTCTGAGGGCTGTCATAGTTTGGTTTAATGTGAGCCAAACGCTGGCTTGGTGTGCTCAGGATGTGCCTGTTCCGGTGTGGCTCTGCAGATTGGTTACAAATGTAGCTTTAACAGGAAAAAAAGTTTCCTTTTTCTCTTTTTTTTAGAGAAGTGTGAATGTCTGGCTGTGTCCTTCACAATATAATCCATACCTGAAATGCTTTATCACTTGCTCTGCACTGAAGGGGCACATGCTGGAGAACAAAGCTGATTTGTGTTGTCTTTTCAATCTGTTTTATTTAGTACTGATCATTTTGACACAAAGAGACACAGCGTTTTCTGTGCTCTCCTACACCACAAGTAACATTTGGGAGGCTCTGGTGTTTTCTTTGGATTTCAGTCCGCCCTCAGTGGACGAATGAAATTTATTGACATTTTGGCGTGGCTAAATGATTGTCTTATGGCTTCAGGTTGCCACTGTGGAGGTCAGAGCTCTGCTGTACCACCAGAGGCTGAGGGACGGGCGTTGGGGCTGCAGAACACATTTTTGTTGGGTGATCTGGGTGAGCTTGGGGCTGCTGCTGCTGCTGGAGCCTTCACTCAGCACAGACGTGTGTCTGACTGGGAGCAGCCTCAGCTGCAGCTGACCCTGCAGTGAAATCCTGCTGTGTCTCTGGATTTCACATGTGAGTTTGTGTCTCACTCAGCCCCCAGCTTGTGGAGAGGCTTTTATTGCCTGAGCTGCATGACAGCAGACTCTCTTTGCTGTCATAATCATTTGGGCTGATCTGCTCTCTGGAGCAAACTGGCACTGCAGATGTCCTAACCTGGAGTTTGTACAGCTTTGCTGGGTGTCCCAGAGCAGAGTGCCCTCTTTCCTCAGTCCACACTGGTTATTCCTGTCTGTGCAGTGTGCTAACAGGCTCTTACTCACTACCGCTCTCTGGGAGATGGAATTACTCTGTGGAAAAAGCGTTTGCTGACCTTTTCCCAGTGATGCAATCCCGATCTTTTATAATAGCAGTGTCTGCTGGATGTGGGATGAGCTGGCACCGTGGAAACAATGAGACATGATAATCTGGAGAGGAATGGGTGCACACACATGACTGAGACAGCGTGTTCTGCCTCTGCTCTGGTACTTCCTATGTGTGACATCCTTTCCTGCTTGCTCCCAGTGCCGTGCTCCGGGTATAGGTTTTGAAATGTAATGGCCTCGCTTTTTTTTTTTTTTTTTAATTTTTTTTTTTAAGATAGGTTTTTTTAAAATTTTTTTAATTTTTTTTTACTTTTTTTTTAAAGATAGTTTTACCATCCATGAGCGATGCACTCGCTGCAGCAGAGGTGGAGCTGTGCAGACAGCGCAGGGAGGGGCAGGCTGGCTGTGCGCCGGGGATGTCGGTGCCTGCTTACCGGAACGAGCAGCTCTCGGCGGGACGGTGCCCGCGCCGCCGGTCCCGGAACGGTGGCGGGGGCCAGGACGGCCCGCGCTGGCCGTGCCGGCCCCGCACGCCCGGGCCTCTGCTCCCGATTCGGGGAAAGCGGCCTCGGGCCCCCGCTAGCGCCCGCGGCCCGTCCGGAACCGGCACCGGGACCGGCACCGGGACCGGGACCAGAACCAGGGCCGGTCCCGGGGCACCGCGGGGCGGGGCCGGGGGCCAGGGCGGGGCCCGCGGGTCGGCCTCGCCAGCCAATGGCAAGCGGCGCAGAGCGTTACATCACCGCCGGCGGCTTCCATTGGCTGCGGCTCGCTCTGGCCACGCCCCGGGACGGCCACACCCTCGGGGCTGCGCCGGGCTCGGGGAGGGGAGCGGGACCGAACCGTGCCCGCTAACGGAAACACACCGGCACACGAGGGGAAATGCTGCGGGAACAGGGCTGAGCGGGACAGGAGCGGGGCAGCGCCGGCCCGAGCGGGGCTGAGCCGTGCCCGCTAACGGAAACACACCGGCTCACAAGGGGAAACGCTGCGGGGAACAGGAGCGGGCGGAGCGCAGCGCAGCCCTGCAGAAAGGGATCACAGGGACCGGGTGCTGGGTGGCAGCAGCTGGGCTGGAGCGAGCATGTGCCCTGCATCGAGAGGGCAAACCTCGTCCAGGCGGGAGCAGCGTGGGACGGCACAGAACCCCACAGCAGAGCCAGATGTTCATGAGAGGGGATGCTCCCTCTGTAGGTATTCTCCCTGGGATCCAGGGCAGGACACCAGGGAACGGCTCCAAGCTTCATCTGGGGAGGCTCAGGCTGGACAAGAGGGAGCATTTCCTTACGAGAGGGTCACACCTGCCCCAGGCTAACCAGAGAGGAGCTCAGTGCCCCAGGCTTGTCCGTGTTTGAGGCATTTGAACAATGCCCAGCATGCTGTGACATGGGTGAGCCCTGATTGGGTTGAACAGTGGAACCAGGAAATCTGTGGAGGTCCCTTCCAGCTGGGTCTTCTGTATTCTATTCCTGCTTAAATTTCAGATATTCCTGCTTAAATTTCACTCATAAAAAAGGATTGAGTGTTGAGTTCATTGATTATAAATCATCCTATAAACAGGGAGCTTCTGTAGTGCAAAGAGTGTAATTCCCATGAAAGTTCAGAGTAGTTTTAATAAAATCAAATGCTTTTGTGACATTTTTAATCAGGAACCCTTTTTAACAAGATAGAAAATGCTTGTGTTCCCCAAATTCCATTTTTTGTGCAACATGGGGAAGTAGCTGTGTTTCCTGCAGTGTTGTGGACTGTGCTGCTTTCCTCCCAGAGCTGAATCTGTCTCTGGAATTGTGCCCACATCCCTGGTTTCTCTCCTGACCAGCACACAGGTGAGGCTTTACAGAGCGTCTTGTCCCGTGGCTGAAGCACAGGGCAAGGCCCCACAGCATGAGGGCGGGGTGGTCGCAGGGCTGGTGGGGTCTCCCAGCCTGTGCTTACCTGGCTCTCTTGTGCTTGCTCTCCCTGGAATCCCAACCCCTCTGTTTCTGCTGCCCTGCTGTGACAGGACATTTCCATTTCCTTCTTGCAGGCAGCATGCACAGCTTGCTTTTCTTGGGTTGTCCAAGTATCTCGAGAATTATCTGCTGTGCCTCCTAGGAATAGAAACTTCCTAATGGAGCAGGATTGCAGCACCACATTAGCAGGTCAGGTTTAGCCTCCTGAAACTGAGAGCTCCGTGCCTGCTGTCCCTGCTGGAAGCTCTGTGGATGACACATGACTGCAGGAAGAGCTGTGCACTGCTGCAGCAGAATCTTTATTTTCAGCCCAGCCTTATGGCGTTTGGCTTGGCAAGCTCGTGTGGGTAGGAG